CCATTCTGGCTTGGAACCCTAATACTCGGATCGACTTCACAATGGTTCCGGAATTTGGGCAGAAAGGACATGCGTTCATCTATAGACCAAAAACCACTCGCCAGAAGAAGCTTCTTCCTCGCACCGTGTTTGGACACTTCGTGGGTATGGAAAGTGAAGTCACTCTATTTCGCATCTTCGTTCCGTCCACGCAGAAGATAATCATCACGCGTGCACAAGACTTCCATCATGACAACTCGGAGCATCTACCGAGTATGTCGACATTTATGGATGGTATCTCCCGTGAAATGGAACTCGATGCCTTCGGACAACCAACATTTCCAGACGAAGATCCGGCTCCCAGTATTGAAGGCGAATACGATGGGGAAGAGCAGTTGATATCTGTACTCACTGCAGCCTTAACACATCACCCTACAGTGTTTGTGTCGAAGAAAACTATTCGCGATCCGCTTCTTCCGCGTTCTTTCTCACGCGCCTGTGAAGACCCAAACTGGGCTGCCGCCATTGACAGAGAGTTCGATGCTCTTGTCGAACGTCGGACATGGATGCTTATCCCTCGGACTGTAGATATGCATCCAGTCCCATTCACTTGGGTATTCAGACTCAAGCCGCTTGACGACGTTGGGAACGTCCTTCACAAAGCTCGGTGCTGTGTACGTGGTGATCAGCAGAAGCCATTCACTGACTACGATCCAGACAACACCTACGCTCCAGTGGCCACACACGAAACGCTTCGCATCTTGCTGGCGTTCGCAAGTAGTCACAACCTGGAGCTCGAAGGCGCAGACATTTCTAATGCCTATCTCTACGGCAAACTTGACATTCCAGTTATTATGGAACAGCCCACGGATTCAAGTCGGCTTCAAAGGAAGCCTGGTCATGTTGCTGAAGTACATGGTTCCATGTATGGAACCAAGCAAGCCGGAAAGATATGGGGTTCTCTACTGGAGACTTGTCTGAACTCTTGGAAGTTCAACACCTCGCGATACGACGCTCGACTCTACTTCTTCCGCAAAGGCAACGAGTTTGTCATTGTCGCTATTGTGGTCGATGACATAGCATTTGCCTCCAATAGCACGCACTTGATGTCATGGTTCAAGGAAAGATTGTCGGCTCAGTTCAACGTTAAGTTGTTCGGTACACTTTCTTCCTTTATTGGATGGCAGATCTCCAAAGAACCCGACCACATCAAGGTCCATCAGACGCGCTATGCTGAGTCACTCCTACTGACTCACGGACTTGATCAAGCCAACTCGGTCTGGACTCCTCTGCCTTTGAATGCGGACCTGCTCCCTGCACATCCAGGTGAACACTTGCTGTCGCAAAAGGAGCACTCTCAGTACCGCCGAATCATCGGTGGTCTCAACTACTTGGCAGTTTGCACCCGTCCAGACCTTTCATTCCCAATATCTGTCTTAGCCCGCCACTTACATGCACCCACCCCCCGACACATGTCGTACTTGAAACGTGTCTTGAGATATGTGTCTGGTACATTGGACTATGGGCTACATTTCCGACGCAATTGCAACTTCAACCCAGACTCTATTGTTGCTTGCGTTGATGCCGATTGGGGAGGATGCAAAGACACGAGGAGGTCAACAACTGGATTCATTATCGCCATCAACGAAGCACCAGTTTATTGGAGAAGCAAACGTCAAACAGTCATCTCCTTGTCCTCCGCTGAAGCCGAGTACATTGCTCTCTCCTCTTGCACTAAGGAATTATCATGGCTTCGAAAGCTGTTCTGGGAATTCGCTCATGCATTGCAATGGAATGATAAGGAAGCGTTTGTCGCAAGTAATGTCATGATTGACAGTACTGCAGCTCAATCTCTCGCTACGAATTCTCAAGTCTCTGCAAAGAATAAGCACATCGACTTAAAGATTCACCATGTCCGTGAACTTATTGAGAATTCTGTGGTTCAGCTGACTCATGTGAGCTCTGAGAATCAACCTGCAGATTTATTGACAAAGATAATGTCACCTCAGACATTAAGTCAAATGGTTGACCTAATTCGTCTTGAGAAGTTTTAAGGTACTGAAAGCGCTACTCCAAGGGACGGTACACACTCAACTAATCGGTATGTTTCAATATCCACTGCGTTTTACGTCTAACAGTTTCTTTGTTTTGCGTCGTTTTATTTTCTAGCAGATGTGTGTGATACCGTCCTGCTCGATTTACCTTCTCCGTTTTTCCTGCAAAGGTTTTGGGAGTTTACTGGTTTTCTTGTCAAAAGAGTAGTTGCTACGTTGTGGTCACGTCGAGGAAAGAGTTTTCTGTGTAATGTGCCCTGTGTTCTGTGGGAAGTGTGCACAATGCTGTGTCGCTTTTTCAACTGCAGAAGTTGTACTGCGTGAATGAGCATACAAAACAAATTGGTCGATGAACAAAGGTGTTGTTAAGTCTTTGATCTATGTTTGACAAAGCCACAGGAAGATGGTACAAGGGTCCGGAAGTAGTTTTACATCAAAAAGTTTGTGATGTGGTTCAGTTGAACGGAATATGTCTTCCGAAGGACGGTGCCAAGATAGGCATATCATAGGGCCTTTGGCCATGAGGTGGCGAAAGCCATTTCGTCCAATAAGAACGCTCCGGACCGCCGCCGTCCATACTTGGACGGCTGGCATTGGGCGACGAATGTAGTCGGACCAAAAGGGAGAATTTTGTATGCGCACCATCCTAGATTTAACTATTAATTAGTAATCTACACTCGACGGCGGCGCGGTATCGCGCCCACCAGTCTCGGACTGGATGACATAAAGTTGTGTGACCGGGGGCAGCTCGCCCCCTCACACCGGAAAAAAAGACACACTCTCGAACACACTCTCGATCACGTTTATTGCTCACCTCGTTCAGCGGAGGGGACTGAGGAAGAGCAAAGTCCAGTAAAGTTACCCTTGGGTACAGTAGTGTCGTCCATGTGATGCAGCCTCAAGATCGAGGCGGAAGGCGATACAGTCAGTGACCAAACCTTTTTTTTCTGCAATTTGGGAATATGATAAAATTTGTGTGTGACCACTTGCTCGAAACTCCCCGAAAAACCTGCCCTAATTACATCGTCGACGTCGCTTTTCTCGCCTTTCTTGATCCCTCTCCTTTGATTTGAAGTGTTTCGTTTCTCAAAGCGACGACAACCCCCCCCCACATGATGCAATCGATCATTCGTCGTGTCTGCAACTGTCCATCCGAAATTTAAGGAGATCTGCTTCGTAATGAATAATGTGGAGAGGGTATCAGCCGACCCTCACATTCTTGGCAATGGGACTGTTACTCCGTGCTTTGCCTGTAGTCTTTGTCACCCACAGAAACCGACAAGGGCAGTTACACTAACAAATGCCAAGTTAGAGACATACGCAAGCGTTGATACAGGGGGCATTCTAATCCCGTTTGCCAGGCTCAAACGGACCGGAAACCGGACTATTTCGCTTTGCACTCCTTGTCGTGACAAGCGTTGGGGTTGTAATGTCATTTCGTATGACAGAAAGTACGGGAAAAACAATGCTGCCCGCGCATTACGTGCATGGCAGACGAGGTGTGCTCCAGATCGGGAAAGGTCAAAAAGAAAAGTATGTCATATATGCTCATCAATAAGGAACGGATCGACTGTGGATGAAGATGTTGTTAGAACCCCGAGCTGTGACTGGACATTATACAACATTATCTCCAGAGAAGACTCCTTACTAAATGACGTGTTTATGATGGAGTTTCAAAGACGCACAAGTTGTGACTTTGAGACCGTGCGGGAATTGGTCGAAGACCCGTCCAAATATTATCTTTGTTACATCCACATCAACCATAGCCGCTATTCTCAAGAGGCTGCGTTCAGAGAAATATCGGAACAGCGATGCACGACAAAAGCACACTGCATTTTCTGGAAAAACGGATGCACACACAAGGACGAGGGAAGAAAGGGTAGACTTTGGCGTATACCTATACATGAAATGGACAATTTTGACACGTTGGAGTCTTTTGCTCAGCTGGAAGAGACTGTATGCTCCCACTCGGCGGCTCAGTTTCATGCACGTGATGTCATGGGAAAGTACTGCTGCAGGAGTTGTCTTTACATTATCAATGAAGGCAAAGATTGTAACGCTCCGTTACTTGCACCAAAATCGTTGAGGCTACCAGTTGATCAAACACTTGTCTGACTTGTAATGTTTTCTCTGGAGAGACCCAGCGTTGCCAAACAGTCTATTATTTTTACTGATTCGGACAGGAATGGAATTGGTCTTATTGGGAGAACAATGAGGTCATCTTGCATTTTATCGATAGGCAACTCAGAACACAGCGTCCGAATGCTGCCGTTCCAGGAGGTTGTGCGTGTGCGCAAGTGTCTTCGTGAACCGCCATTATGTACCACTGTGTTGCAGCCACCAAACATTGATGACAGGACATTGCAAAAACGAATTGAGCCAGTGCTCGCTCAGAAAGGAATCATTCTGAAGAAAATGAGCTATCGACTCCGTTGCTACATCCACGTAAGTCAGGTTGACAAGTTCCTGTCAGATATTGCTACATCACGCAGCAAAAAACTGATAAATAATGCACGCCCGAGCATGGATGAAATGCGGTCCCATTACGACGCAGTAGCTCGGCATTTTGAGGAGCACAAGGGCCGTTTTTGGGCTGGTTCGTGGTCTTTGACTGAAGAAGTGGCCTCTATACCAAGCCCTTTATGGCAGGACGTGATGCTTACAATGGCTTCAGACAGTAGACTGCGAGCATGGAAAGTATGCGCAAGAGTTTTGGGAACGCAGATGTATGAAATGTTTCCCCTTTCAAATTCTCCGGATTGTTTGACTCATCCATCCATTGAAGAGGAACTGCATAATGGCACTCAACATTCCCGCGCTGATTTATTGCTTTGCGTGAGAGCTCTGAAGGTCATCGAACAAACTGTCCTTTCCAGAACAAAGAGCATTTCCGGTCCCCTGACTATAACGATCTCCGTTAGTGGTATATGTGAAGTGACTCCCTCTTTTATAAGCGTTCTAAATGCCATGGGCGTGTTTCTTTCTTACACAAGTACAGAAAGATACCGTCAGAAGTTAATTGCCGAAAGGGAGCGCTGCGGTCCTTGGCAGCACACTAAATTCGATGAAGTGATAATGCCGGTACTTCAATTCGACAATTGGGACATAAAGCCATTGCACGCCGTCAAGGTTGATGGGAACTCTATGCCAAAGGTGAATGGGTCGCTACTACAGAGAGTGGTTCCAGGACAGAAAAGAAGACGGGAGAATATCGCCGAACACAGCACGAAACGCCCCCGACTGGATTCTTGGAAGAGTGTGCGTGGGCTGGGATGTCGTGATGCCTTCATTAATAGATTCTCTAGCGTAGAGAACACTATGCTTGTAAAGCAGTTCTCCGACATCGCATTTGGTCTCACCGCTCTGTTCAGGGGTCAATTGGTGGGCCGGAAAGAATCAAACAACAGCGAATATAACAGTCAGACAATTGCGGACATGACCTTCGGTGTGCATGGTGCTCCTTTGAATTTTCGCACCCTACTCCTTTCTGCTTTTAAACCACACGGAGGGAAAGACCCCTCGGATGAGTCTCTGTACGATGAACAGGTTGTTTATGTCGAAATCAGTCGTGACAGCGCAGCTGATATTATTACTGTGCGCAGATTCATTAACCTTGTTAAGGAGCAAATTCGTCCAGGACACCCTGGTCGTCCTAGATACGTTGTTCTGGCAGGTGATCAGCCCTCTTACAAAATGTTCTGCAATTTGTGGCTGGACTCCTGGCGGGAAAGCCGACAGGGAGGTGAGGGCGTGGGGGGTGCAGCTCATACATCTTCGAACTGCAACCTGCCGCTCCATGAATGGTTCATTCCCTTTTCTGGTTTCTTTCACGCAGAAAAACAGATTATGTATTCGTTGAGCAAGGAGATGGTGGACGGTCTCGGTCTGGAAGAGTTAGCGGCGTGCGCGGGACTATCGCCATCTCATGTGTCCAATATTCTAACTCATTCCCATGCACGAAACAACAGAGCCGTACTATTCAATCTGGCTTGTGCGATCATTATTCGTCTCATCGATATGGCAGTGGCAGAGGATGCGTCTGTGCGAGAAAAGGTTATCAATTTGCACAGCATATCTTCCTAAAAGCGGGTAAGTGTCGATGGATCGCAGGTTGTTAGAAATCCGTCTCGCACAATGCTTCCTGTAGGTGAGGCAAATCTGACAGGTACCCTGTACTCAGCAACTAGTGATTTAGTTACTGGGGAGGTCATCTCAGTTGGAAACATTCTGCGAGAACATGCACAGAAGACCTTCAAGGGAAGGCCCAATGGTGAGCATTTCGTGCACACTGTGTTGTTCGCCTGCTTACTGCCCACTGTAGGGTTCCATGTGCTCTCTCGAACTGGTCATACGAACTTCACGGATGCATTTTGGTTCAATCACAATGCTCTCCTACATTCAACAACACATCTTAAGTACCGGGAGGTGTCTCTATTTTACGCTTTCTTCAGGGGAATTATACCGTCTGCTGTAGAGCAGGAACTTTATTATACGAAGCCTGGTCGCATGGTATTGAAGTTGTTGAGCTTCACTGGTCGCGGGAAGGAAGCACTTGACATGTGGGGGTATTCGTATGTTCATTTGGACGAGCTTCTGGAGATGCTAATTGTAAGGCATCTGAAGAGTCTCAGCGTTAACCTACTAGGACATTTAGAGAATTCTGCTGGCTGGTTGATGCAGGTATCTATGTTCAGGGCACTCGGGCGATACATGACCGGGGCATCGAGGGCTTACGGGCGGAGACGGGAGGCAGACGGTGTAGGAGAGTTGCCAGGACCTTTGGCAGCTTTCGACAGAAACGCATGCCAGTGGCGAACAGTATCTCGCATGTTACACGTTATGTGAGAGGTAGGTTTTCTAAATTTGGAACATCGAGGTGGGGAGTGGCTGACTAATGTGTTCAGCTTTTCTCCAAAACGCATGAATAATCCTATGGACCAGCAAGGCATACTGGACAATGCGAGTACTGGAGAGACAACCGCCAAACTTCATGCCTCCGTCATCTTTCCTGACGTATTCGGGCCTCTCACTGAAGATGAGAGGAAGAAGTATTTCGGGGGGAAAAAGTTTAAGCGATGGACGAGATGCCGGGCCGTGCTGAGACCAGCACAATCAATGCGTAAAAAGGAGGTATTATTGAATTTGCAGATCATGTAGAGCGTAATACGCAGGTGATAACGCAAAGCTCGAACACTCCGAAGCGGGCCACATCAAAAGAGGCCATGTCCAAGTTACTGGCTGAACGCAGACGCAAACTTGAGAGGAAGAAAGAAGCATTTTATGAAGAGGAAAGATGGGCAATATCAGAGGGAAATGTGGATTATTTACGCGAAGTCACAAGCAGAAGAGACGTTTTTCATGGTGAGAGGTATCTGATATCCCCATTTGCGGATTGTCTCCTGGATCACAACGGGAATCTTAACCATGGCGCAAAGGCAAATTTTTTGAGGTACACAGTCCGCGGGAATAGAGAAATTGTCTATCCATTGAACAATGTCAGCAAAAGACTGGAGAACGCATCCAATAACGGACATATTGTTTCGCAGACACTGCATGGGGCCAGTATTCCTGCTTCTTTGACTGTGCAGGTGGATGTCATGAACGCACTACATTATAGGGGAGACACAGGGGTACGCGGGACGTCTTTGCAGGACATCGTTACCGGGAAGATGAAAGCAATTCTGCGTCCGTGGGTTACAGGGCAGAGCGGGAATTGCATCAGGCAGTTGCACTTGCACATTGACGACCCCACGCTCGTAATTCCGCATAAAAAAGCAGAACAGAACCGACGGGATGCCGGCAGACAGAGGAAGCAGGAAGATGGGGACATTTTGGACCGGAACCGGCAACTTGTACGCTTAGAATTTCAGGATGAGCTCAATGTGCCGTGGTCATATTTGCTCAATGACAGGGAATACAAAGACGAATTGGGCTCCCTTCATTTGTTTTGCGGAGCCGTTGCAGCCTTCGAGTTGTTCGAACGGAGAGCTCATAATTGCAGTGTCTTTCTACATGGAGGCTCATTTCTCATTCCGACGTCATTTACGCAACGGAAGCCGTGCAAATTCCAACCAGAAAGGGTAGCGATGAATGACCGGGATGACGTTGGTACGGGACGAGTGATATTGCAGCTCGCACGGGAGGGGTTTCTGGATGGCGAGGTGGGTGACATGTTTGCGGTCCCCCGCTCACGATGCCTTGTTTTCCAAACAAGGGGACCAGCTTATGTCGGAAACGTCGACATCCGACATGGTGAATCTGAGACTAGATTTGTTGCAACAATGAATGAATATATATCTCCCTCAATCTCCAGCGTAATTGGGAGTACGACGTCAAGAAGTGATAGAGGCAGCTCCTCTCTCAGTCAGCAGAGAAGCGTTGAATTATGCTGTCAATCAGTCATTCTTTCCAACGACACTGATGTATTTCTCATTCTGCTTTCCAATCCTGACATGTTCGGAAAAGGTTTGGTTCAAATACTATCTGATACAGTGCATGAGGTAGATGCAGCTGTACGTTGACTGTGCTTCCTTGGCACATCCGGAAAAGTGCGGCAATATTGTACAGTTTAGCTGGATGCGACTTTTCCCCCTCATTCTACGGTATGACACACAACCTTTTCTGGGAAGCCTTCGTTCCATTCCTGCAACATGGCGGCTCCCTTGCTTCTCCTTGGGAAGGTAATGTGGACAATGTCGATAATTTAATTTGCTTCCTATATCTTCTGAAGAGGGGAAAGCGGATGTTTTGCACAGAGGAAGAACTAAAGCAAACTATGAGAGCAATCGTAGAGGGAGGTGAACAGGATGCACGTAAACTGGCTGATGTTAGGCGGCAGTTCTTCATTTCAAGCAGTCCAGCGGGAACATGGGGATGGAGAGTGGATGTGAGAAACTTTATTGCCGACTGTGCTGCTTATGCTAACGAGCTGCCACCACATCCAACACATTTAAAACTTCATGCCAGGAGAGCTAAATTTATTGCAATGAAGTACTGGGGGCGAGCGAGCGAACGGGACATATCTCCGTCCGTGGTAGGAGGATGTGGGATAGGGAATGGATATGATATGGATGGGTCTATTGCGCTTGAAGAGGAGCAAGCTTTGAAGGATGTTGTGGTCAATATGAAAAACGTCATGACTTGTTGCAGTTGCAAAGGCAATTGCTTGTCTCGCAGATGCTCGTGCTTCAGAAAAAAGGAGCGTTGTATTGGATGCAGGTGCAGCGAAGATCTATGCAAGAACCGTAGGAATGGATGTGAATCAGGTCAGAATGCGAGAGTAGTTCAGGAGAGTGGACAAGAAAACCCAATTGCGACAAACCCCACTGTACGAATCATTCAAATTGAGGAGGATGCGGAGAGTGAATTGCAGTCGGATGTTAGCCTGTTGGATGCCCGGCAATCCTCCGCTGGAAGCATGGAGCTCGTACAAGACGACGTGGGAGCACTAATACGATAAGCGACGAAGCTCCCACAAGGATATGCTTGCGGGATAGGATGGCGGTAGATAATGGAATGTGTTTTGTTCATCGGCTAACAATAATGAAAAATGTGCATGCAGTTGAGTAGGATTATCACGACACCTGCCATGTTTGGCAGAAAAAATCTGATTGTGTTCGCGATACTCCGAGATTCCGTTTTTAAACCACACAACGCAAAGGGGAGGCCCTTCCGCACATAATCCACCACTCATGCGGCAGTTTAGACTTTTCTAACGAATAAATGACGAACTACACCTCTTCGTCGAGGGCATTTTCATCAGGGAGATGTCCGCGACATCTGACATGGAAACAGTATGAGCACTCGATGAGCCTAAAATTCAGTTATGTTTTTGATAATCAGGAGTATGGGTCTTTGATACCATACTGCACGATTTGCAGATAATTATTTCACAAATAGGAACAGATCACTCACTGGATAGGCTAAAGCAGGAGGCGGGATTAAATGAGGGGGGTTTACGGGATTGGGATTAAAATGGGTATGAAGGTATGATACTGTAGATGGGACGGCGGGTGGCAGTTGAGTCACAGTACATGTCGTGGGGGTATTTTGATATAGATTTATGAAATGAATGCTTGTCTACCGGCTGACGGGGACATACGCGCCGTGACAGCGGTGACATTCACAGGTTTTGGGGAAAACCGTAATGTTACTGAAAAGGGCTTGGCGGGGGTTCAGTGCAGTGCAAAAATTGCAGATGTCCGCACTACTGCCGAAAATGTCTGCACCATAGTGCAGACAATAATCAAGCCAACAATTGTACTGTAATTACAATGGCTGACAGTCGCTGTAGCAGCCGATAGACAAGCATATTGTCGCCTCGATCCCATCGTGCAGACACGCTGTGCGTCGTGCGATATGAGGCCCTCGGCAAGCCTCGGTGCTCATATCTGCACTCGGCGCGCGTCTGCACTCGAATCGAGGCGACAACCCCTACGTGCGTGTCGTGCCGCCCGAGCCGCATGGCGTTTTGCGTGGACCAATACACTGCAGAGTTTTTACTCTGCATTGATAAACTTTACTGTCTATTACAGTGTCACGGAACAGCAATGCTGATGATCTCATGTCGACGTTACAGTGCTGTAGGTCCTTAATTTATTGAATAAAAAGTTTGTCAATGGTTATGCTCTAAGAGCAGTCCCCACCTGTGCACTACCCTGAACGGCACAAGATACACTTCGAAGGGTAAGTCCCCACCTGTGCACTACCCTTCGAAGTGTTCTCTTGTGCACTACAGGGTAGTGCACAGGTGGGGACATACCCTTCGAAGGGTACTGTACACGTACAGTGAAGCTTCAAGACTGCCGTGAATTACCGACCGACAATACCTAAAGCAGCACGACCGGAACTGCTTGTAGCCATGCAAAAACAACCTTGCTGCAACTCTGCAACTTTCTCCCGCTGCCAATCGCAATCGCGATTCGCGCCCCCGGTGATGAAATATCAAGAAGGCCATGTTTGCATCCCACGCCGCCCCCCCCCCCCCCCCCCCCCTTCCCCACTCCCACCCGAATCACCCGCCCCACCCAAAATCACTCGTCCCACTCGTCATATTTAAATCACCTGGAGCAATGTAGTTCCTTCCTTCTTTTCAGTCTTCAGTCGGTCATCTTCATCGTCCTCGATACATCTGGTCCAACCTCAACCGATAACCAGCACGATCCACTGACTGAACATCGCCTTTGTTTGCCATGTTCGACTGCACGAACCCGACGTCCCGTCCCCTCGCCCGCACCTACTTTCTCCTCGCCTCAACCCTCACACTCTTGCTCACCGCACACTCGTCCAAAGCCATGCCGCTGCCCTCACCCGCACCGCCTAACCTTCCAGCCCTGCCGACTGCCGACCCCAGTCACGACCTACCGTGGGAATCCAACAACTCCTTTCTCGCCTTGTGTATAGTCGTAATTGTCAACTTCGTCTACTTCGTCCGATGGGTCATTGATTGGTGTTGTAACTGTCCCACGCACCCCCTTCGCTCCTCAACTTTGCCAGACAACCGCGACCTCCACCGCTCTTCAACCTCGCCAGACAACCACGACCTCCTCCGCTCTTCAACTTGGCCAGACAACCACGTCCTTCCGCCGGCTATGGCGCATTCGACAAGGGCGGAGGCCAGTAGAGTTGTGTCCTCCATTGTCGAAGAGACCCTTTCTTCTGTCAACCACCGAGTCACACTTTCGTCGAGCACGTAGTCTAGGGAACGCGACGTCCTGACGCCATGTCCGTGAACTCAATGGGTAGATGTATTCTTTTGTTTCTATTTGTTGATGCGATGCCCCGACCCCGGCACACCCATCTATTTTGTAAATGTTTTCTTGGACGTGCATGGAGTTCTGTGTCGGTTTTCCACGGGATTTGCTAAAATATGTTGTTAGCTGACCAGTATCGTTTGGGCCGGATAAATAGCGTTCGCTTTGGTTGGCAGCTGCGTCAAGATTTTGGATACGTTTGATCCAGCTTCCTTCCGCTTCCACAAACCCGTCTTCTGTATTCCAGGGGCGAGGGTCCCCTTATAAGGCTGCTTTAAGAAAATCCAGACGCGGTACAGGGTAACATACTGTACCAAGGGTACAGTGTATCTACTGTACGACGATGGTTGACCATCGCCCATCCCCACCTGCTACGTCCCTGTATTGAGTTAGACATGTGTACACATGTGATGTGTGGCAGCACCTCAGTGGCAGATGGCCGACCAAACCCTTGTCCAATGAAAGGCCCCGCAGGCCGAAGAGCTTGCCAAGATTCTTCGGATTGCGAAACTTCCTCAGATTGCGAAAATTGAAGGACCCCGTTTCCATATCTGCAGCGACGAAACAATCAGAAATGTGCATGCGTAAAGCGTCTTCTAATGCGTCCGGCACCTGCCTTGAAATTAATGGCTCACGCGCCTTTCGTTGAACGAAATGCGCGAAATGGTACAATGCTCCAACCTCGTCCCCTTCAACAGAATACCAACCAGTGACGAGCAAGGGTCTGCTGCAAGCGCTGGCAATTAAAAAGCGTGGATGAATACGCCATAACGCGCCTCACTCCGGGTGTGGCCTGCCAAAGGCGTTACGCAGACACGCGGAAGCTGTGCCCGGACCGGCCCAACGGCGTGGTGGGGCTGCCAGCTAGCGGGCGGTTTTTCGAGAGTCGGGGCGTGCGCACTCGCAGTGAGGCCGAGTGTTGTTGCGTGACAAACACATTGCGGGCAGTGATGTGCGAGCGGCGCTGGGGGCGGATGGGGCTGAAATGCATCTGTGGCAGAAGTCTGCCATACACAAGCATTCCTGAGCGCAAGTGCGGCAGGGCATTTTCAGGCCGCCGAATGTAGGACCTGTTGCCACTACTGTACTGTACTAGATATATGATTTAGGGTTGTATTATTGGCATTACGTAAGAGCAACTCCACCAACACAGTAGCAAACGAGCAAAATACCAAATTTGATCAAATTTGATAAATTGCTCATTTGTATACTAGTTTGACTTCCCCACCAGACCGAAAAAGTGCCAAAAAATATAACACCGCCGAAATTGCCTCGAGCAAATCAGTCCGATTTGCTCAAATGACTCTCACCCGAAGTTCTATTTCAGCAAATATTTTGGTACAAGTGCTGCATTACGATTGGTCAATGAGTGGCGCTAAACCGAAACACCTTGAAATCCGAGAAAAGTTCAGTTCTTCGCGCCTTCACTTGCGAGCGAACATACACCGAGCACCTCTTTACTGTGTTGCATCGCAATCCGTCTCAAACCCACCATCGTTCACAGCACTGCAGAATTTTGCTAGGCACTCCAACGCTGTAGATTCCCCCATCCGGATGTACTCGTCAATCGAGTCTGCGCAACAGCCGTATGCCAACAAGCGAAGGGCTGCCGTAGTTTTTTGAACCGTCGTGAAACCCTTTCTACCTGTACAGTCCTCTCGCTGCGTGAAGTATGGATCATGGGTTTGAATACGTTCAACAATTCGGTGGAATACCGCAATAGAGACGCGAAAACGTCTGTAAAATGGTCAGAAGAGTACACCGGGCATTCTGAGAAGTAGTCGAGATGTAGTCTGTGCGCTGCTTCTTTGCGATTGCGATTCACATTGGGAGACTTTCCCGGGACCGAACCACACCAGCGCCTCGCTTCTTCCGCCTCCTCACCGTCGATCCCGAGAAGTGTCTCTGTGATGCTCTCTAGTTGATCATCTGCCATTTCTTGAACCCAGATCCCGTCCATGATTTGATCCCTGGGGCTGTACGGCCTCTATCCTCTAAGCTCTCGCCGGTGGGAAAAGTAATATGTATAGCAAATGAGCAAATTTTGAAATATAGCCCAGCCAATAAAGCTTGTACAACTGTGCAAGTATTTTGCTCTTTTGCTAATTTGTTGCACGCCTTGGTGGAGATGCTCTAAGGGACAATTCTTTTTATAGACCGTTCTGGGCAACACGTTTACAGCTCCTGATATCTCCTACTCACCGTCGCCGTTCGCTTCTCTGTCGATCATTTTCTAGTCGAAACGTCATGATATCTTCGCTGATACTGTATATAGTATATACAGTATCAGCAAAGATATCATGACGTTATCAAGGCCTATATACTATATAGGCCTTCGGGCTGCCCATCCTTGTGCCCCCACTGGCGACTACCAGCATACTGTACAGTATCGCCACTTCGATGAATTGTCGCGGCCTAAGAGAGGGCGTAGGACATCGTACTAGAGACTCAGCGTGTATGTACTCGAAGGGTACGTAACTCCGAAGTGTTTGCATCTCTGTCGGAAAGTGTTTCTGCTTCGTGTATAGCAATGCAATACGTGGTCTGCACGACGAAATCTGCCCTGCAGTGACTGATACCTGTACTGCTCTGAAATCTGTGTAGATATGAGTGCTACACGCATCGCGTGACGTCAGCCAGACGACAAACTTCTGAGTTGCCTTTTCGATAACTTTTGTGTTCATTTCACGGTAAATGCAGATATCTTGCCACCGTACACGCCGAATTCTAGTTTAGTTGTGAGAGCGAATCGACCTGGGCTTCTACACACACGTGGCA